AGAGAGAGAGAGAGAGAGAGAGAGAGAGAGAGAGAGAGAGAGAGAGAGAGAGAGAGAGAGAGAGAGAGCACTGAAATCATACAACTTTTGCCTCTTTGTATTCAATTCTTGAAATAACGGATTTGGTTGGCAAGCTGACCGAATTTCTGGACAGGCAAGACTGGAGATATACACTCTGTTTTGTATTGCGGACTTTTTTTCCAAGTGCTGATTTTCATTTTGTATGACGCTTCTTGTGTGGACTTGTGCGCTTACGTCATGAGTACCTCGTCTATCAAATCCTGACTGGACGTCCTGGTCCTGATGGCCCATCCGGATTTCTGGACTGTAGTATCGACTTCGAGGTCTAGATGGGCCGCCGGGATTTCTGTACAGTCCGCAGCTGGATTGCCAGGATACCTGGTACAAATCGTGGATTACAAATTTGTGGTCCTGTGTTCAGTAACTTCGGTCCCTGGATATATATTTTTGTAATTAGTACATGCAGGTGTTATGGCCTTCTCCGCATTCTATCTTGCTGTTTGCTGGGGCCATTTGTCGCATGCCTTTTCATTCCCTTCGCATACTCACAAATATCTCTCGGCATGCTATCTTGCTGTTCGCATGGGCCATTTGTTGCATGCCTTTTCATTCCCTTCGCATACACGGAAACATACACGATGATCTATTTTTTTTTTTTATCTTGCTCTCTATCTTGCTCTCTCATTCATGGCTCATGCAGGATGCACGTCGATCTCTCCATGCTCGTGATATGACGGAGATTAGACTGATAAATTCATCTGCTTCCTTACAGCTGTGATCTACTGCTGTCCCTGAATGCCGGTCAATCAGGCTGGTGGGCTCCGGGCGAGAGGTTAATCCTTTGCTCTTGGGGAAGCAATCAATGCCGCTGACCGCTCTTCGGCAGGTGCTCACATATGGAATATGTCTTTGGCATGATCGGTGGTCACTTCTGATTGCGTTGTAGGTCGTTCTTTTTTTCTTTTTTTTTTTGAAAATTTTGGACCTTGAGTTATGCGTGTCATCCTTGCGCAGGGGCAATGCTAATTACCCTTCCCTGTATCGTGCCGATTTTAACAGATGTTCTTTGTTTACTCATTTTTTATTTTGCAGCATGTTTATTGAATATTGTTTTAGGCGGTTTATCATGGTTTATGACATTTATGGTATTAATTAATTCAGCATTGCTCTTTTTCAGACCACATCTCAACCCACCTGCATTCAACGTGGGTGCTTCTAAACAGAGAGGGTGGCCGGGAAATGTGCGCGTAGCAGTGTACGTGTACCGCTACAGGTGTATGTAGAGTGCTCGGCGTAACATTCTCAGACTGTCCTTCTCTCTTGCACTGGTGCTCACCTGTAGTTCGTTCTAGAGATGGCAACATGGCTGTGCTGGGAAAGTCCGGGGGCCTGTGAGCGGCCGCGGACATTACTTCCGTTGTTACTTTTTCTCCGCGGTTTACATTGAATGATATTGTAATGACTTGTCGGCGCATCAGACATTCATGGTAATCCAGTTGCAAATTCTGTATTTTACTATTTTGCTAGGCTACCAGCCCCATCGCCGGGGCGACCTTGTTTGCCCGGGCAGGCGGCCCGGCCGTGCAAGGGCCAAAGTAGGTCCCAGCAAAAAAAACAAAATCGAAAGAATATTAAAAAACACTAATGTTATGCAGAAAAATCAACTTGCCTCAGGGTCACATCGAAGTTCTTTACCAAATAAAAAAATAAAAAAAAGTCTTTTTGGCCCAGCCGGGCAAGTGGTTCCAGGCCACTCTGGTAGCCTAGGCATTTTTTGAGATTGCTGTTTGGAGAAAATGGTAGTGGTGGTTGTGTGCAACTTGTGCTTGTATACCAAAAAAAAAAAAAAAAAAAAACTTGTGCTTGTATACACAGGTAATCATCCCTTGGCACATGCTGCCTGGTTTTCGAATCACCTGTAGATGTGACCCGCTTTGCGGACATGTGCCTTGGATCTGTGTGTGTGTGTGTGTGTGTGTGTGCGTGTGAGGTGTATGTGGCTGAGGGGGGGAAAGGAGAGGGAGAGCGTGGGGCCTGGGGGCTTGGGTTGGGATTGTGGATGCCTGGTTTTGAATCCCATATCTGCAGCTGGGACTCGACATGAGGAGAGCTGGACTGAACGAAGACATCTTTAGCCTGCAGGAATTGCTTACCTATGGAATCAAAGGGATGGCTGCATATGCAGCTCATGCCCACGCAGTGGGGGAGGTAAGAGAAGTCTCTGTGGGAGTGCTTCAAGTCTATCATGGCGCTTTGCGGCTATATTGACTTCATCAGATGAGCCGATTTGTGCCCCGGGGCTTTCGACTTTCTTTGTCTATGGCGCTTTGCGGCTATCTTTTACCATAAGAGCCGATTTGTGCGCGGGGGTCTATGGCTTTCTTTTCTCGTGTTGTCTATTCTCTCTCTCTCCTTGCCTTCCCCCCCCCCCCCCCCCCCCCCCCCCCCCCCCCCCC